TTTCAGTGCCAACACAGATTCATAACTAAAGTTAGATTTAGCAGATGTGCACAAAACTTCTGTTTAACAGACCCCGAAAAAAGGAAAACCTGCCAACCTTTGTGTCTTCTGAATGCATTTGACAGCCTTGAAAGAACTTAACAATCTGGGCAATAATGGCAGGAAGTGTTCAAGATAGATGTGAAGACCAGCAAAACAGAAGAGTGGCAACTGTGGGAATTACTGGACTGAATGATTTTCATTGCACACACAAAGCCAAGTATAGGCTCCCAATACATTTCCTTAACTATTGAGCAGTTTTTTTCTTCCTGACTTCTAGGCCTTCCCGTGCTGAAAGTGGTCTGAAGTCAGCAAAAAACTAGCCTGGTGTTGATTCAGTTGGCTTTCGGCCTACATGCTTAGTTAGGTTTACATTTAGTCTATGCTGTAAGCTGCTTTGGGTCCCAGGCTGGAAGAAAAGTAGAATATAAGAATACATGGTGTTTCAAAAAGATGGGCCCAATTTTAAATGAAACTCTTACCACTTGAATGAGTGGGGCATAGAGTTTCAAATAATTACCACTAGATGCCTCTTCCAGCATGCAAACAGCCCTAGCAACATAAGGCATTTTGTGTTCTACAAGATTGATTCTGTAATTGCAGTGCAGTGAACATTTTAGCAGCATTTTGGCATTGATATGCCAATGTCAAAGAGCATTTGTCACTGCTACTGGAAATTTGAGGAACATAGTACCTCTGTGAAATATACTGCTTTGAAATTGGGTCCATCAAATTCTGAAACTGGGTCCAGGACAAATTCTGACTAGAGATGTAAAATTCTAGGACATTTTGAAGCCACAGAAAAAACACTTTCCCCATTATTTTCAGGAAAAAATTATAAGAAAGTTCAAAAAATATAAGTTTAGAACAATTTACAGTTCAAAATTCATTGTTTATGACTTAGTCTGGCAAAAACATAGTTGTGTTGAAATATTAACAGTATACTTTATGAAGAATGTAATTACAAATTCAAAGTAACTTTTTAAAAAATCACATATTAATGGATTTTGAAAGTCATGAATTGTAAAAAAAAATCTGAACTATAAGGAATATATCTGTCTGAAGAGTTAAATAGAGAAATTTAGTTGTCTCCATTAGTTCTCCATAGTATCAAGGAGATATAATATAAAGAAAACTGTAATCAGACATTTTAACTGTCAGATACTGTAAATAAGTCTTACATAAAAGTGTTTTTCTTACATACTTCTTAGAAATTTTTATGGGGAAATAAACATGTGAATATTGTACCCTGAACATTTTATTATTTTAAAACAACATATTTGATAATTCAATATTTTCCTATTTAGTTGTTAAAAACAGTTTTGTGGAAAACTAGTTATGTTCAAATTATCCAGTTTTTCTGGGTTTACAAATCTTTTAAATCTGACACCATGGAAAATTATTTCAAGCACTGCTAATGCTTAATTATTTGAATTTACAGAGATAAATATTTCAAACTCTTTGCAGCACAATCTTTACTTTATATTTAGGTGATAATAAAATTTTCCCACTTTTATCTGTGAAATAAACCTTGCTACAATGGCAAACTTTAATGTAAAATTAATTTAAAATGAAAATAAGGGGAAAATGTACAATTCCCAGTTCAAGATGAGGCTCATTATGCTTAATGAGTTGTACTCCTAGGACAAAGTGTGTCTAAGATTGCAACCCAAAAGTCTAATCTTATGCATGGCAATTCCTTAGCCCAGAGTTTCTCAAACCTTGCTCCCCCAGATGTTTTGGACTTCAGCTCCCACAATTCCTAACAGCTGGTAAACTGACCGGGATTTCTGGGAGCTGAAGTCCAAAACTCCTGGAGTACAGTTTGAGAACACTGCCTTATACATTTCAATAAGACCACCTATCTACTAGTTAGAATTCCATCCTAAAGTAGAAAACTATTGTGCAAATAAAAACCATATTTAAGAAAACAAAGTCAACATTTCAGAGAACAATTTAACAATATGCTATTTTTTTTCTTTTTTGACTTTTCTGCAGCTGCAAAGTCTTAGTATTCAACATTTGGAACATAGATAATTACCTTATGCAGAGTTTGTCTGCCCATTTATTCAAATTTTGTTGACACTGACTATGTGCTGCTCTTTGGATTTTTGAAAATCCCTTTCCAACCAGACATGAGGATCCCAAGAACTGAACCTGTACTCATAAAATACCTTTTATAACATTGTGGTCATAACCTCCTCCTAAGTGACTGCCTCTCAAAGTCCCAAGAATAACACTAGTAATTTTATTACTCTTTTTAACAGGAATTTTAGTACACTTTATTTAATATGTTTGATTGTAAGGTAATTTCTGTTTATGAACATGGTGAAAATGATAAACAAACTTTTACTAAGTTATATTGGTTGAGATACAGTTTTACTAAGCCACTCTGTTTCTACAACTATAGCTGTAAAGAACTAGGAACAGTTTTTGCATGCCCGTATAAAAACTGAAATAATTTCAATCAAAAATACAAATATCCCCTTGTTTCCTATGAATGATTACCAATTTAGAACTGTTCCATTTCCTTCATATTATCCTCAACATGATGAGTACTTAGATCTTACTGCGATCCAAGTAATGTTAGCAGAAAGTAAACAAAAGCACTATTAAAACAGGAAGAGCATTTCTACCATTTGCCCTGCAGCTGTATATAACACTTAAGAGTTTGACTCAAATATCAGCCACAGGAGAAAACAGAAAGAGGACATTCTATCCCAAATATGAAACGCCTAGCTGTCCTGCCAGAAATTAAATTTTATTAAGGAACTGTTACCCACTCCCTAAGTGACAAGCAAGTGTAGTTAAGCAGCCTTCTTAAGCAAAGACTTTGGTCTTACACAACTTAGGAAGTTACCCTCCTAAATATTCAAGACAGCCTATTTGTGCTTCCCTACACACCCACATGTCAATCCTTCCTTCTCAGCCTGCTCAGCAAGAGTTATGTTGGATTATTTTACAGGGCGGTCTGCATTCAGGAAAGCACAGGATAATTACCTTTCTGAAACAGCTTGAAAAAGAAAGTGAAAACTACTCCCAAGAAAATGGGCCTGGGTTAAATCTTTCACTTAAAAGTTTGCAACTATGTGTGTTTGTACACTGTAGCATGAATGCAGCTTGGCACATTAACTGCCATAGCTCAAGGCGATGGACAGCTGGGATTTGTAGCTTCATGAGGCACCAGCAAGCTTTGGCAGGGGAAAACTAAAGACCTTGCAAAACTACAACTCCCTGGATTCCAAAGTCCTGAGACAAGACAGTTCAAGTGGCATCAAAATACATGAATTCTAGTGTCAATGCACCCAAAGTTAACTGGCAGGGAAAATCTACACCTTTATTTATATATACACACACACACACACACACACACATACACCAGTGGTTCCCAACCTTTTTTTTTTGACCAGGGACCACTCTCCAACGTTAGTACCAAAAGGGTCACGAATCAGTGTTTGATCAACTTTAGATTCTGTTTGGTTATTTGGGGTGCTGATTCAGAAAATTGCATTGGATAGACCACATCAGCTCTTGTTTCTGATATAGAACATATGCCATCCAGTAATCGCCATCTGCTCACGCACAGAAAACCATATTTAATAAGTCTCAGCACTGTAAGGGGGTTTCGTGAGATCAGTTGCTCTTGTTGCAACGGTGAGGCCGCATACCATATTTTAGTTCTTGCAGACCATTGGTGGTCCAGACTACAGGTTGGGAACAACTGATATATGCATACGTTTGTGTATGTATACCTCTCAGAAATGTTACCAATGTTTTCTTTTTTTTTTTTTTCCAAATTTTTATTTGTTATATTAAATATTATTTCATTGCAGAATGGAATGTTGACTCCGCAAGCTATTTTTCATAGGCAACGTATTAGTCATATGTTATGCACTCTTAGTTTACTTATAAATACAGAGAGTGGTAACTATTTAAAACAAGATTTTAATTTTAAGATTCACCAATGTTTTCTTAAATGCTCTTTTCAACAGCACAGTAGTTTTCCAACTTTAGCAACTACTTTCCAACAAGGTAGAGAATTGGTCTGACATTACTGGGGTTCTTCTTCATTGTATATATGTGTGTAAGTGTTGTATATATGACTAAATAAATCATGTAGACACAATCTTGATTGAATCATAATTATGTTCACAATGCCTTCATTGTAAGCAACACTTTTCAGTAACTGAGAGTTGGTTGCAGGAGAGAGCTATTAAAATATGGGATTAAACAACGTGACAAGGATGGCAGAGACTTCTTTTCCCTTTTCAGCATTTTAAAGTGTCTCCTCCACGTTCGTTGAAAGTACTCCCTTTCTTTTCTAATTAAAGTGGGCTCAATCTGCATTCATTCTACAGTATAGCTGTGGCCTTCGATCTGCCACGCCTTTTGTTTAGTTGGGAGGTCCTAACCACAAGAGAGTCCAAAATAACACAGCAAGGACTCTCCTCCTCCTCGCCGCCACAGCGCTCTCTAATCTTCCCCTCCAGACCCGTTTGCCACCACTTCCGAACAACTCAACGTTGTGGTTGCGTCCTTTCCTCCTCCTCCTCCCAGCACTTCCACCCAGAAACCCCGCCTCCCCCTGCAAAACACCCTCCGAACCAGGCGCCCGCTTGCTGTGGTTGCTCGAGGCCTACCAGGATTCCTCCTTCCCTTCCCCAAAACCCAACGCTGCTCCCAGCAGGCCTCTCCCCAGCCAAGCCCCCGTCCCAAGTGCGCCTCTCCTCCTCCTCAACAACGGCCGAGGCTGCTTGGCTAGAGGGTGGCCCCGCAGGCCTCCAACCGCCTCTTTCTTTCCTCCTTCCTCGCCCTCTCCTTATTGACATTCCCGCCCCCTTCTGACTGACTCCGCGGGGCTTCCCCTCACTCACTCCCTCACTCGCTCCCTGCCTGCCTCAGTTCCCCCAGAGAAGAATGGCTTGCCCCTCCTTTCACTTGAGACACAAGGCCGCGCTCACCGGACCAGGCCCCTCTCGCTCTCTCTCTCGCTCTCTCTCTCTCTCTGGCTCGAGAGTTCCTCAGACCGAATCATAACAAAGCTCTGCCCAAAATGGCTGCCCGGCCCTGCCCGGCCGGGGGCCGGAGAGGGCGGGGCCACTCACGCGAGAGGGGAGGGGGCGGGGCCAGGGAGAGGGAAGGAGGAAGAGGTGAGGAAGGAGGAAACACACACCCACCTGGCCGTCCCCAGCAGCGCGTGCCGAAAGCGTACCCCCTGCGCATGCGCGCCCCGGGCTCGGCCGCTGGCGAGCCCGGCGGAGGAGTCTCCCAGCCCCGTTCCCGGCTCTGCGCATGCGCGGAAGTCTTGTTTGTGTGAAACTCCAGCTGTTACTTCCGTAGTTCTGTTCAGTAGGCTTTCTCACTCAGTTGCTGGTCAACTTTAATGCTGGCGCAATCTATACTGCCATATAATGCAGTTTAAAATTGCATAATAAAGTCAGTTTAGATTACTATAATATTTATTTATCGTGTCAGGAGCGAACCAAAACAGTTTTACTGCATTAAAAACAAAGAAACAAACAAACAAAACACAGGCAGTGCTTCTTGTAGGTCAGAGCACGGCCTATAATGCAGTTTATTGAATTATCTAGCAGTGTATTATCTGGCAAAGCTTCTATTGTCTCTTTGGGTGCATCTAGATGAGAATTAATACAGTTTGACTTGACAAACTGGGATTTGTAGATCAGTGAGGCAGCAGTCCTTTTTGGCAGAGAAAGCTAAAGGCCTTGCCAAACTACAACTCCCAGTATTCAATAGCACAGAGCCAGGGCAGTTGACAGCAATCATTCCTGGTTTGTTTTGTTTCTCTGCCAGCCATATGGTGCTCTGCATGTTAGGTCCATGTGCTCATTCTCCACCTTTCAAGGTATCTAGAATGAGCAAGTTGGTGCTTGTTTCACTGCGAACAGGAATATTTTATTAGAAAGGTGTATGCTGCCAGCCTCAGCCTGTTTCTGTGTCTATATCGAGCTCAAGTGTGTATTACACAAGCCAAAAAAATCAAACTTTTTATAATAATCAGAAATGAGAGTAGCACAATTTAAATTTTATGCTGATTTTAAATATGTGTTTTTTCCCCCCATCGCATCAACTTTTAAAAATGACAAATGGTACATTACAGCAGACTACTGTAAAGTGAAACACAAGCCAACAAGTGAAACACAAGCCAACAAGTATTTTTCATCAGATACAATTTTAGGTCATCCTTATAGAGGTGTTTTGCACTTAATTCAGATCTGTGTTTATTTTTTCTCTATCACCTGTATTTTTTTTCCAATGAGGCTAATAAAATAATTAATGCATTTATGCACTGATGTCAATTAGATGAAAAATACTTGTTTGCTTGTGTTAGCAACCATACAACATGACCTTAGAGTGCATCTACACTATAGAATTAATGCAATTTGACATCACTTTAATTGTCATAGCTCAATGCTATGGAATCCTGGAATTTGTAGTTTGGTGAGGCCCTAGCACTCTGGCAGAGAAGGTTAAATACCTTGTAAAACAACAACTCCAAGGAATCTATAGCATTGAGCCATTACAGTTAAAATGGTGTCACACTGCATTCATTTCGCAATAGAGTCCCTTCACCAAACAAGAGCAGTGTGACCAGACTTTGCAGGCCCTAACATCACAAATGAAAGCTGAAAACATCTTGATTTTTCTGAGCATCCTCCCTGCAAACTTGACAGCAAACTGCTTTTGTACTCTGAACTCAGTTTACAGCTCCTGAGGTAATCTGAAGATAGAAAGGAAGAGATTGAAACTGGAATATTTTAAAAGTAGTTGAAAATTGGGGGAACCAAGCTTTAATTGGAAGCGTCCTTGCCAAATTAATACAGTTGGAGAATATGGGCTTGTATGTTACTTCAATAGACTTGAACAACTCCAAGCAAAAGCAACCCCCACCCTTCCAAAAATAGTACATGCCCGCAATATTAAACACCTCATAAATGCAGACAAAATTTGCTCTTTGAAACTCTTACATGTTTCTCACTGCTTTCCAGAGTAATTCTGGGAGTTACAGGCGCAAAAATAAATATTTGCAAATTCTGATATGCTTGAGTTATACAGAGATATGTGATGGCCCTGTGAGAACAACTCAGAGCTTGGAAAAGTTCCTTGTTTTGACTGCAACTCTGAGAATCCACTAACCGGTTGGGAGATTCTGAGGGTTGTAATAAAAGGGCAACTTTTCCATGTTCAGATTAGACTTATTGACCTATCTAGCTCAGCATCCTGTTTCTTGTGGTGGGAAACCCACAAGCAGAGCATGAAAACAACAACCCTTCTCCCAGCGCTGTTTCTTAGCTACTGCATTCAGAGTCACACAACATCTAAATTATTGAGTTAACATGCAGTTATCATGACTCGTATTCATTGGGAGCCTAATCTTCCATATGGATTAATTAATTCCTTTTTAAAGGCATCTATTTTTTTTACTACTCCTAGGTCTTGTGGCAGTGAATTCCAAAGTCACAAATTTTCGACCATTCAGCTACTTTGTATGACCCCTATTTTTTAGAAATATGAAAGCTTTTTTTTCTTTTCCTTTTTGACCTCTACAGTTTTCTTCTGTCATGACCATTCTTAATAACTAGACACTGTCAACTGAGATCACCTCACTGCTAAGTCTACATTATTAATTAACACCCTTTCCATTACAGATCCTTGGTGGAGTCCATGCAGTTATAGTAAATCATTATTAGAACAATCCAGTTGTCCCTATCCCCTACTTTCTTTCTTGAATCTATTACAGAGTTGTGAAAAGACCCATGCTTTAATACTATGTCTGTTAAGTTTGATTAAGGGCTTTCAATAAGTCAAAAGCTTTTTCCAGGTCTAAATATGAAGTCAGTTTGATCATCACTACCTATATACTTGCTGATATTCTCAAATAATTTCAAAAGGCTAGTGAAACAGGATGTACCTTTCCAACAGCCATCTAACCAGTAATTCTTAGATTTACTGATCTGCACTATATACTGCTTTTGTTTCAGTTTGTGTGTCTTCATTCACATTTTCTCCCCATAACTCTTTCTACTTTCTACCATTCATGTTGCTACCCATTCCCTGGCATTTGTTAATCTTGCTGCTAATTGTTTATGGTAGAGAGAGGGAACGGAGTAGATCAGGAAGACCTGAGTATAACATAACAGGAGTGGGAAATGAATGTAAAGCAAGACTATGGCAATCCGAAGCTGTAACATATCAAACAGTCAATGACGAACTATGGATTGAGACTATGGCTACTGAATGCGTCATGGAGGAGGGAGAGGGTTCCGTTAACCGGGGAGCCCCCATAGAAGTCGTGGTGGGGAAGGGGAGATACGGGAAAAGGAGACCTTTAATTCGGCCTAGGGAACGTGGAACAACATTAGTAATTCCAAATCGGTCTCCTGATATGGTAAGTCGGTGTAACCAGGATGGCGGTCCCTCCGAATTGAAAGTGGTGCTGTTGAACGCCAGATCTGTCAATGGTAAAACAACTTTCATCCAGGATTTAATCCTGGACGAACGGGCAGATCTGGCGTGTATCACAGAGACCTGGTTGGACGAAGCGGGAGGTGTAAATTTGACCCAGCCTTGCCCACCAGGTTTCTCTGTGCAGCACCAACCGAGATCCGGAGGGCGGGGAGGTGGAGTTGCAGTGGTCTATAGAGATTCCATTCTTCTGACCAGGGCCCCCATCCCGCAGTCAACAAATTTTGAATGCGTCCACCTGAGGGTGGGTGACCGGGACAGATTAGGGATTCTGTTAGTGTACCGTCCACCTCGCTGCACTACAGTCTCCCTGCCTGAGCTAGCGGGGGTGATCTCGGACCTGGCATTGGAGTCCCAACGGCTGCTTGTGCTGGGGGACTTCAATGTCCATGCCGAGGCCACCCTATCGGGAGTGGCTCAGGACTTCATGTCTACCATGGCAACCATGGGGCTGTCCCAACAGGTATCTGGCCCCACCCACAGTGCTGGACACACATTGGACTTGGTTTTCTGCCAGGGATGGGAGGAAGGTGGCGGTGTTGAGGAGTTATCCATCTCTCCGTTGCCATGGACCGACCACCACCTGGTCAGCTTTAGACTCACTGCACCCCCTAACCTCCGCAGAGGTGGAGGACCCATTAAATTGGTCCGCCCCAGGAGGCTTATGGATCCGGATGGATTCCTGATGGCTCTTGGGGAATTTCCCGCCGCCTCGGTTGGTGATCCTGTCGATGCCCTGGTCGCTCTCTAGAATGGGGAGATGACCAGGGCAATAGACACGATCGCTCCAGAACGTCCCCTCTCAAGTAGCCGAGCTAAACCAGCTCCTTGGTTTACCGAGGAGCTGGCAGCGTTGAAGCGAAAGAAGAGGGAACTAGAGAGCGTGTGGCATTCGGATCCGAGCGAGCCAAATCGAACACGGTTTGTGTCCTTTTTAAGGGCATATGCCGCGGCAATAAAAGCCGCAAAGAAGACTTTCTTTGCGGCCACTATTGCGTCTGCAAAGAACCGTCCGGCTGAACTGTTCCGAGTTGTCAGAGGCCTGTTAAAACCCACCACTCAGGATGGGTGCCCTGATGACTCGGCAGCTCGCTGTGAAGCTTTTGCTCAGTTCTTTGCAGACAAAGTCGCTTTGATCCGCTCTGGACTGGATACCATATTAACGGCAGTCTCTGAGGATGTAACACGAGCATCTGCTTGTCCGGTTTTGATGGATTCATTTCAATTGGTTCAATCCGAGGATGTGGACAAGGTGCTTGGAGGAATGAGAGCTACCACATGCATCCTAGACCCCTGCCCATCCTGGCTTCTAAAGGAGGCCAGAGGGGGATTGGCCGAGTGGGTGAAGGTGGTGGTTAATGCCTCCCTTCGGAAGGCAAAATTCCAGCCAGCTTAAAGCAAGCTGTGATAAAACCGCTGTTGAAGAAACCATCACTGGATCCCACTCAATTCGTCAACTATCGGCCTGTTTCCAATCTCCCCTTTTTGGGCAAAGTCATGGAACGTGTGGTGGCCTCACAACTCCAGGCATTCTTGGTAGACACGGATTATCTAGACCCAGCACAGTCTGGCTTTAGGCCAGGGCATGGTACCGAGACTGCCTTGGTCGCCTTAGTGGATGATCTGCGCCAGGAGCTTGACAGGGGGAGTGTGTCCCTGTTGGTGCTGCTGGACCTCTCAGCGGCCTTCGATACCGTCGACCACGGTATCCTTCTGAGACGCCTCGCAGGGATGGGTCTTGGAGGTACTGTTCTGCAGTGGCTCCGCTCATTCCTCGAGGGTCGGTCTCAGAAGGTGTTACTGGGAGACTCCTGTTCAACCCCACAACCTTTGTCTTGTGGGGTTCCTCAGGGTTCAATACTGTCTCCCATGTTGTTTAACATCTACATGAAGCCGCTGGGTGAGATCATCCGGAGTTTCGGAGTGCGATGTCACCTGTACGCAGATGATGTCCAACTCTGTCACTCCTTCCCACCTGCTACTAAGGAGGCTGTCGAAGTCCTGAACCGGTGCTGTGATGGTCTGGATGGGGGCGAACAAATTGAAATTGAATCCAGACAAGACAGAGGTACTCCTGGTTAGTCGTAAGGCCGAACAGGGTATAGGGTTACAGCCTGTGTTAGACGGGGTCGCACTCCCCCTGAAGATGCAGGTTCGCAGTTTGGGTGTGATCCTGGACTCATCGCTGAGCCTGGAACCCCAGGTTTCGGCGGTGACCAGGGGAGCATTCGCACAGTTAAAACTTGTGCGCCAACTGCGACCGTACCTTGGGAAGTCTGACTTGGCCACGGTAGTCCACGCTCTGGTTACATCCCGTCTAGACTACTGCAACGCTCTCTACGTGGGGTTGCCTTTGAAGACGGCTCGGAAGCTCCAATTAGTCCAACGGGCGGCAGCCATGATACTAACGGGAGCGGAGCGCAGGGAGCATACAACTCCTCTGCTGCACCAGCTCCACTGGCTGCCGATCTGCTACCGGGCCCAATTCAAGGTGCTGGCGTTGGCCTTTAAAGCCCTAAACGGTTCTGGCCCAACTTACCTATCCGAACGTATCTCGGCCTATCAGCCCACCAGGACCCTAAGATCTTCTGGGGAGGCTCTGCTCTCCATCCCGCCTGCTTCACAGGTGCGGCTTGCGGGAACGAGAGACAGGGCCTTTTCTGTGGTGGCCCCTCGGCTTTGGAACGCCCTCCCCATAGAGGTAAGATCAGCCCCCTCGCTGATGGTGTTTCGGAAAAGATTGAAGACATGGATGTTCAAACAAGCATTCGGTTAATCCGGTGCAAAGAAATTGATGATTAAGGACTGGTAATCATGGACGATGAAATTGGACTACAATTCTAGTTAAGAGATGCATTGGATTGTATTGGTGGCCCAATACTATGTATTGTATGTTGTTTTTATGCTTTTAAACTGAATATTGTTGATTGTTTGTAGAGTTGTAAACCGTGTTGAGTCGCCAATTTTGGCTGAGAAACAGCGGTATACAAGCGCAGTAATAAATAAAATAAAATAAATTCATGAGTTCTGGAGAGACCAGACTCTCTAAAGATACTCCTTCTCATCATCCTTTAATGAATCCCTTGATGTGGATAGGCAAGGCATTTGTCAAATGTGCAAAGTTACTAAATTATTGAGAAGATTCATCTAGTTTGACATTTCAATGCCAAATTTTTAAAACGTGTCCTTAAAGGGTGCACCCACACTATAGAATTAATGTGGCATGGTGCCACTCAATGCTGTGGAATATGGGAGTTGCAGGCTGGTGAGGTTCCAGCACTCTTTAGCAGAGAAGGCCAAAGACCTGGGAAAACTACAACCCCCAGTATTCCACAGCATTGGCAAGATTTCTGCATAGAATTGTAGTTCGTTGCTTTCCAGTCCACATTCTTTCCTTTTGAATCATAATTCTGAGGTCTAAGCAGACAGGGAGAGAAAGGGCTGAAGTTTAGAAAGGAGGAGTGGTTTTGAACAGGACTTTGGCCTTTTCCGCCGGAACTGTAGAAGGAGCTTCTGTTTCAGGCCGAGAATCCTGACCGGAGGGCAAGGCGACACGGCGGCATTAAAGGGGAACACCGGAAACTCATTCCCTCCCACAGGAATCTCCTTGGGCGACGGAGGCGTCGGAACTCACATGGCTGGAGATGCATTTATCCTAAACGAAGCGGTTTTGGGAGAGACGCCGTTGTGAGTTTATCTTTCTCGGTTTCCCGAGATGCTGGGGACGCTTTTTGTGGGAAACCCGAGAGAGCCTTTGCTTCCTGGAAAGACAGTGAGTGACAACCTTCAAAGGGAAGCTCGAATGGTCCATTGAGGCGCCACCACTGCCTGCTTGTCCTTCCCTTTATTATTTCCTGCTGATAGAGGGTGAGTATAAATGAAACATATTGGTAATGGGGAAAGACATGGGGGTTCATCTACACTGTAGAGTTAATGCAGTTTGGCCCTACTTCAGCCGCCATGGCTCAAAGCTACGGAACCTTGGGAGTTATAGTTTCGTGGGGTACTGTAAAGGCCTTGTAAAACTGTGGCCCCATCTACACTGCCGTATAATCCAGTTTATCTGCTTTAAACTGGATTATATGGCAGCGTAGACCAGGCATGGGCAAACTTCGGCCCTCCAGGTGTTTTGGACTTCAACTCCCACAATTCCTAACAGCTGGTTATCAATCCAGAAACTAGATTGTATAGCAGTGTATATCCAGCTTCATATAATCCAGTTCAAATCGTATAATCTGGATTCAGAAACTTGATTACATGGCAGTAATGTAAAAGCCTATAATTCCCAGGACTCCTTAGCATTGAGCAGTGTCAATTAAACTTGTGCCAAACTGCATTACTTCTACAGAATAGATGCACCCTTGGAAAAGCAGAATACAAGTTGAGTTTCCCTTCTCTAAAATGCTTGGGACCAGAAGTGGTATGTCTTCAGATTTCAGAATATGTGTATTTGCATAATATATATTGGAGATGGGACTCAAGTCCAAACATAACATTTATTTCTGTTTCATATACACCTTGCACACATAGGGTAAAGGTATTTGAATTCAGAATATCTTTTACTAATTTTGTGCATGAGAAAAAGTTTGTGTACTTTAAACCACCAGAAAGCAACAGTTTCAGCCAACCCATGTGACCAATTATGAAGCATTTTCAATTTTGGATTTCTGTCAAAAGGAAGATAGGACAAAAAGAGAAGTAAAACTAAGGCCCTTCTCCACCGCCATATAAAAGATGGATTATCTGCTTTGAACTGGATTACATGGCAATGTAGACTCATATAATCCAGTTCAAAGTAGATAATGTGGATAATCTGCTTTTATAATCTGAATTATATGGCAGTGTAGAAGGGGCCTTAGTTACGCTTTTAAGCAAGTGACAGTATATAGCACACATTTGTCTTTTACCTTTTGCTCTTGAAAGGTGCATATATTTACAAAGGATATACATTAACTTAAACTGGCAATGGAACTAAGTATGGGCATGGTATCATAATTATAAAATTAAGCAACAGTTTTTTTTAAATGAAGAGGCATGTTTGACTCTCAGAATTTAAAAAAATAGTCCTTTGTTATTTTATAAGGAACTCAGTTAAATTTATTTTGAGTCAGAACAACATGTGGAGTTGGGGGAGGGATATCTGTATATGCTAGAGATCTTTTGGATGGAGTCAGGACTCTATCATAGCACTAAATGATGCCTAAATACAACCTCCTTTACTTATACTATATTTATGATATTCCATCTAGGAGCCAGGAGAGTGTATAGATTAAGGAGTTGCAGACAAGTTCCCTGTCATTTGATTTTGTGGGTGAAAGCAGTTTCCAGTGTTGAGGCTTTTTACAGCACTATTGATTCATGGACTGTATAGAATTTAATCTTGCAAGTAGGCTAGGGATTGTGGCGCAGCTGGCTGAGTGTCAGCTGCATTAAGATCACTCTGACCAAAAAGGTAATGAGTTCGAAGCCAGCCCGGGTTGGAGTGGGTTTCCAACCAATTGTGTGTAGCCTGTTGTTGACCTTTGCAACCCGAAAGACAGTTGCATCTGCCAAGTAGGAAAATAAGGTACCACCTTAAAGTGTGGGGAGGCTTAATTAACTGATTTATGAGACCATAAAGAAGACTCCAGCAAAGCATTCCAGCGGGGAAGCATGCGGGGAATGTGGAAGTGCTTCATCAGCGTCGCAGATGGAAGATGAAAACGACAGCTCCCCTGGCGGCCAGAAAAAGTTAAATAACCTCTGTCTATGTCTGTATATGTTTGTATGTCAAAAATTGGCATTGAATATTTGCCATATATGTGTACACTGTAATCCGCCCTGAGTTCCCTGCGGGGTGAGAAGGGCGGAATATAAAAGCTGTAAATAAAAATAAATAATAAATAAATACAGGTATTTTGGATTTCACTTGGCTGTGCTATTCAGTGAACCCTTTCTCTGTCTTTCAGAGCTAATGAAAATGTTCCCTCTACTACAACGCTGTTGCTCTCAAATTCCTTTGAAGGTAATGTTTTCCCAAACCATTTTGGTGTCTGTACACAAACCAGATTTCCCAGCTACTTTGGTTAAAACATTAGGAGTAAAATGTCAAAGCACATCTTGTCACTGTAGTGTTTTCTTTTATGAATTACTCAAATACTCGGATGAAAGTCATCTATAAAGACTAACATATCAATGAAGGATTACATGTGTCTATATGGTTACATGTCCTATTTCTAACACTTGGTGCTGACTGTTTCAGAGCCTCTATTAGGCTACATGGGCCATCCCTGTAACAGGATTAGGGGAGAAGATAGCCTTCTTGCCTGGTTTTGTATACCAATCCCTCAGAAGGGTAGGCAAATGGAAACACTAGGAAGCCTCCACAAGTGGTTCTCCTTTAAAACAAGATTTAGCCACACCCACATTTTATTTCATCTTCCAAAGGTTTTCATAAGGGATGGAGTTTCTGGAGTTCATCCCTTTCTGATCTGCAGCTATGCTGCTAGGTCAGAAATCCACCATGCCTTTTCTGTCACACTAGTATTTGGGGTGCAAAGTAAAAAAAGAATTAATGTGGCAGCTTTGCAACCAACCAAAACAATATGAGAAGGCATAGGTGTCTCTAAAAGTATGTCTTCGGCTCCATGGTGACATGACCCTAGTCTCTCCATCCACTCCCCGAATAAGGGTTTGTCTTACTGAGTATTAAGCACGTAATATATTCCTGTGCCTGCTTAATCTTTCTCAAAAGTAGATAGTATTCAATGTTTTTACATTAGAAGCACAAGAGTAATCTGCTAATTACTTTCTTATGAGTTTTACTTTATTCCAGCAACATGTGAATCCTATGTATCAACTGTAGAATTCCCCTGCCAATGCTATAATCTGTTTTGTCTAATCCAATGTAGTGCCAGGGAATGCTGGGAACCTGAGTAGCATTTAATCTAGGTATGAGCAAACTTCGGCCCTCCAGGTGTTTTAGACTTCAATTCGCACAATTCCTAACAGCTAGTAAGCTGTCTGGTATTTCTGGGAGTTGAAATCTAAAACACCTACAGAGCCAAAGTTTGCCTATGCCTGATAATCACTGACTTGAAATCCCATCTCCTTCCTTCACTCACATATTCTGATATTACAACAAGGACTAATTTTATTGGACATTCCTTAAATTTTCTCAGGAAAATGCCCATTCCTTTCCATAGATCATTTTATAAATCCTAACATTTGCAAGCTACACATTAAAAGGCCACACACCTGAATGCCATGCGGTAATGGGTTTTTGCATTGTGTTTTCAGATTGCCTGTGTTCAAAGACTTCCACAGCCAGGAAGGACTCAAGCTATCTACTCTCCTGTCCACTTCAAAGGTGGCCTGAATGTACTGCCAAATTTGCAGCTATTAAAGCAGACATCAGCTTATACGATCAAGGTACAGCATTTCCATTGCTCCTTCTGCAACTGGAAGAAAAAGAAGCCTCCAGAACCTGAACCTCGCAAACTGGACTTGTTAAGATATGATATGCCATCACTCAAGGAGTCACCAAAGTCTGCCTTATATTTGGGATTTGCAGGCTTAATCCCATTTGTTTCAATACCATTGTTCATGGCTGTGCAGGAGACCTATTATCCAGAGCTAGCGTTTGCTCAGATTGCATATGGTGCCTCTATACTCTCTTTTCTTGGAGGAATCAGGTGGGGATTTGCTCTTCCAGAAGGTAGCCCTGAAAAACCTGACTGGTTTACTCTGAGTAACAGTGTTGTTCCTTCATTACTGGCCTGGATTGCCTTGCTTTTCAAAGATGACACTACAGTAGCTGGAACCATGGTTATATTTGGCTTAGGAATAGCCCTGCATTATGATCTCTCCCTCTTTCCCACCTATCCCCGCTGGTTCAAAGCTTTGAGAGCTGTCTTAACTATAATAGCTGCAGGTTCGTTGGGTGCCACAATATATGTTGTGAACACTTATCCAGAGAAGCATTTAATTGAAAATGAAAATGAAATTAAATAATTGAAATCAATGAGCAAAAAATATAGTGGCTGTTGCAAAAGAGGGGACTCACTCACAATATTTACAAGATTCAATTGCATAAATTTGAATTTTGGCTCCACAAGGAAGACTACTGTGAGAGAAAATGGTTGCTGAGTTTCTCTGCTTTTGAATGTACAGCTGTGGAAGAAAAGGCCCAAGAGGAACATTAGAAAATACCAATATGGCATGCATACAAATATGCCTGAATATTTCAGGCATAAAAAGCAGTAAATCAGAAAGTGCTCCTTGTAGGAATACTCGTTTGGAGTTCAGTATTTGAGTGAGAATATAACTTGAATCAGACCATGCATAATATTTCCAGTGGAAGGCGGCACATGTTGTCTCTGGGAATTCCACTGAGGTATTATCTCATTTAGTACCAATTCATTCTGTATATTCTTATGAGAAAAGTATTTCTTTGGTTTGCCTAACCAAACTGATATACTGCATTTCAATTTCAAAACCATGTGGCCATCCTTTCCCTTTTAACATAATCAATTTCAGTGGAGTATTACAATAACCTGATGTTAAAATACATCTAGATATCATTGTTGGGTGTCCTTTAATAATATTTTCTATAAATGTTGTAGAAAGACATCACATTTTGTTCACCTGCACGTGCTCACTAAAATCCAGCTGTTAGACAGGAGTTATTTAATTCTAGTGTCTAGGCTGCCAAAATGCATACTTTCTTAAGAATAAGCCCCTTAAATTCAGACTTATTTGTGAGAATTACTTATCTAGAAGTAAATTGGTTTTATACTTGAACCGTTTAGAGATTAATCTCTAACCAGCATGAAGTTTTAAGTAGCTGTATATATTTCTGCGGAAATTAAATTTTTTAAAAATCCTACTCTTGATGTGTATGTTTTTTTTAAAAAAACTGTACATAGCTGGATTTTCTTTACATGCTTTAGAATATTCTGATGCCAAAGATATGCCTTTAAGTATTTACTTTCTGTAGATTAGTTGTTTATCTTTCATATTTAGCTTCATTTTTGTGCAAGATGTTGATTGCTTTGCTAAATTTATAAAAGTAAAGAATCAATGCAAAACCAGGGCACATGCTTACAGATACCTTTAAAAGATGTTTAACGGGACACTTTAATTATGAAGACAGGGCTTTGGATAGAAGAAAAGAAACTGAGCTATAATCACTATGAACTAAACATACTTGTGTTTGGATCCTTAACTTCTAGGATACTAACACTGACTAACATCTACCAGGACGATTTATTAAACAGTTTTTAGAAAATACATTTGCTCTAACGAGCTTTTGGGAGCTTAAATTGTTAAGTTAAAAGATTCTATGGAAAGAAAGGATAAAAAGTGATATCCAAAGACAGGTTCTTATTATCCACATGTATTTCAACAGTAAAGCCACTATTAAGAATTGTGATGGACCTTGAGGATGGAAGAAAAGGTGTAAGATGTAAACTACAAATCTCATATTGCATTCCAGTAGAAAGAAAGCTTCCATTTTTTTAAAAAGAAACCTGCCTCCCTTTTTTATCTAAGGCATTCAGCAACTAAAACATAATTCTTGAACATATTTCTAAAGGAATAACTCCATCATCACTTTGTTGTTTTTCTCCAAGCAAAATAATTTATGCAACAGAAAGTAGAAGCCAGATCTAAAACAGTTAATGGATTTTCATGACAAGAATTGATGTGGCCAGGTTATCTCTAAATATATTTTACTTGAAAGAAACCTGTGTAATTCTGCTTATGTCCTAGAAATTACAAAAGACTTCCAGGACAACAAAGACTTCACGTCTATGAAGAATTGCTATCAAGTTCCATATGCACTCTTGTATGGTCCACAGAAAAGAAAAAAGATTTTAATTAAACCAGTAATAGTAACTGCAAAAGACATTGGTTCTTGTTCTGGAAATCTAGATGCCCACGAACTGCAGACACATTTAGGAAGCTGAATCTTCATATCTCTGGCACGCAGACATTCACACTCAAATGCTCTTTGTTTTCTAAAAAAATACTGTATTCCCTCAAAGCACTGCCACACCTCCTTCACACCGGCTGGTGATCATGTTAGCAATTTCAGTCCAAGCGTCCGTATGTGGGTTATAAACCTCCACAGAGTCTGAAGTTACTGGGGCAGCTGAATCATAGCTAGCAGTCCTTCCTCCTATGGCATAAAGGAGACCGTTGACAGCCACAACACAAGCTCCGGCTCTTGGGGCTTTCATTGAAGCAACTTCCACCCATTTCTCCTGGCAGTTTAAACAAAACAGAAAAAACAGCTATGTTTTGTCCACAGAAAAGTGCTCTACATTTACATTTTACAGATATAAAATGATTTTTTCATAGGAAAGGCTCTTTAAAATGGACCGTTTTGCTTTCTTGTGAAGTTCCAACTTCCATTAGTGATCAAGTGTAGAGAGTTGCAAGTATTCAGAACAATTCAACCACAGTATGGATTTGGAATGGAAAAAAAATGTCAACAAGTACTGTATTTGATCTAGAGTAGCATTTCCTTGGATTTAAATAAGAGGGAGGTAGCACTATGATTGTTATAACAACCAATCAATTAGTGCTGTGAGAACAGCTACTATATGAAACGGGAAAGTACTGAATTCAGTTTGGTTAGAAGTGTGTACACTTACTCCTGAATAACTGACTACAGATCCACTACTCAAACTGCACCTCTGTGCATAATCATTCATAAAGAGCTCAAGCTGCATTCTTGAGGTGCATCTCTCTCTCTCTCTCTCTCTCTCTATCTTAGAGTTAAGATGTAAGGTTAGCTGAACAAAAATAAAGGTAAAGGTTTCCCCTTGACATTAAGTCTAGTTATGTCTGACTCTGGGGGGAGGGGTACTCATCTCTATTTCTAAGCCGAAGAGCTGGCATTGTCCATAGACACCTCCTAGGTCATGTGGCTAGCATGACTGCATGGAGCGCCGTTATCTTCTCGCAGAAACGGTATCTATTGATCTCACATTTGCATGAAGCTTAGCTGAACAACTATACTGAAAATAACAAAAAATAATAGGTATTGTAATGTGATCTACAGAAAATGGACCATACCTCTTCAAAAGAGTATTTTTCAACAGTTGGAAGGGCATCTTGAGCCTCATTACATCCTCCGACGGCATAGATACAGTCATTCAGAGGAGCCACACCCAGATAGGCTCTCCTAGTACTCATTCCAGGGAGTGCAGACCAGCGCTTAGATATTGGGTCATAGGCTTCCACAGAACACAGTTCTATTCCTTCATTGCTAATACCTCCAACAACATAAATCAAACCTGAAATACGAATGGTTTCAGTTAAACTCACGCTAGCCATACACACATAATACCTGCTACAGATCCTTGGGACATCTTGTCTTCACTTCTTTTTCCAATAATACTGAGCAGAATCACTGAGATCTGCATGAGACTAAAGCCTTCCCTCTTTCTCCACTTGTACTATAGTATTTCAGATTAAGTAAATAGTGGAAGTATTTAACTTCGCTCCCATTTCAGCAATACTGCTCAATAAACAATCAGAGTTAGAGATTATTTTAATATGCTCCTCCCAGCAATTATGCTACTTTTGCCATGGTTAGTATGACAGATGGAGCAGGTGGAGGAAAAAAATCTCACATTGCATAGCATTATTCCTCTCTACTCTCTTTCTAGCACTATTAACATTCAGATGGCAAGTAGAATAATTATTCTTCTGTATTCCATTTTTTAGTAAAGCTGTGCCCCCAACAGCTTGCCAAATAGTTGTTTGATATGCTGCTGGAAGCCCTATTTTGCAGGGCATGCAAGCATGTCTCTGAATGTTTTGTATGGCAGGTGGATAACAATCTCACATTGCTGGGAAAGAGGACACCACAGACCATGTACTATCCATACCTGCCTTAATGAGATTTGTCTTAAATAAACAGCTCTGAGGCTGTAGCCTAAAAATGCTTTTCACCCAAAGTTATTTTGCCCAATACATTACTTTTGCAGGATAATTCTTTTGCTCAAATCTGCATGATCCAAGACTGAAAGCCTCTTGCTTAATTTGCAAACACCCATTATCAACACAATCTTATGGAGGTCTTCCACACAGCCCCTTGTCTTGGGAAAGGCGGAAAATCCCACAATATCTGCTTTGAACTGGGTTATCTGAGTCCACGCTGCCATTTATTCCAGTTCAAAGCAGATAATGTGGGGTTTTGTTCAGCTGTGTGGAAATGACCTCAATGAATCAAATAGTGGAAGTCAAATGGTAAGTGAACACAGGAAGCACAATATCAAGCACTAGTAACACAACAGTTAACTGCACAATGCATTTAATAGCACTGTAATTTCTCTGTGGAGAATGTTGGTGTAATTGGGCATATCTACTGTCATCAGATGTATCTAGTGGGATACCATCCATTGCATGATTAGCAATTAGCAACATTTATTGAAATATTCCTATCAATTTACCTTGTATTTCACAGCACCCAAAATTGTATCGTGGCACAGCCATACTGCCCACAACTTCCCAGCTATTTTCTTCAGGATCAAAGCGTTCAACTGAGGTGCCAATCTCTGCTCCAACCCAACCTCCTAGAAAGCAGAGAGCGCAAGTGAGAAATACAACAGAATCAACAGTTCACCATCTCCTTAAGGTAGTTCTATGTCTGAACTGGTTTTAAAAGGATAACTTAAGCAAGAGAATGAAACGTAACACACTAGTCTAACAGCCCAACTTACTTACATTTTCCAAGTTTCTGACTTGGAAGTCTGACTTGGCCACGGTAGTCCACGCCCTGGTTACATCCCGTTTAGACTACTGCAACGCTCTCTACGTGGGGTTGCCTTTGAAGACGGCTCGGAAGCTCCAATTAGTCCAACGGTCGGCAGCCATGATACTAACTGGAGCGGAGCGCAGGGAGCACACAACTCCTTTGCTGCACCAGCTCCACTGGCTGCCGATTTGCTACCGGGCTCAATTCAAAGTGCTGGCGTTGGCCTTTAAAGCCCTAAACGGTTCTGGCCCAACCTACCTATCCGAACGTATCTCGGCCTATCAGCCCACCAGGACCCTAAGATCTTCTGGGGAGGCCCTGCTCTCTATCCCGCCTGCTTCACAGGTGCGGCTGGCGGGGACGAGAGACAGGGCCTTTTCTGTGGTGGCCCCTCGGCTCTGGAACGCCCTTCCCATGGAGGTAAGATCAGCCTCCTCGCTGATGGTATTCCGAAGAAGACTAAAAACTTGGATGTTCAAGCAGGCATTTGGTTAATTCGGTGCAATGAATGTGTCGACTACGGATTGGTAATATGGATGATGCAATTGGACCACGATTTTAGTTAGGAGATGTATTGGATTGTGATTTACGTGTAATATTGTGTATTATGTTTTTTATGGTTTTAATTGTATACTGTGTACTGTATATTTTGTTGTAAACCGCGTTGAGTCGCCAGTTAGGCTGAGAAACGGCGGTATACAAGGACAGTAAATAAATAAATAAATAAATAAGTTTCTCACCATTATTATATTCAAGCACTATCAATTAGCCTGCAATCTTCCACTACCAGGAAATCATTTTAAAGGCAAGCTGGAGATGAAGCATTACCCATCAGCAAGTACATTTGATATTGCAATAACTAGAGAAGAAATATGTTTGGGCATTGCCAAAAAGGGTCCATTGCTAGCATCATGAATCTTTTGCTGTTATTTCCATGCTCAGTGGTGCATAAAAGTAACAATACATTACTCCAACTCAGACTTGCCAAAAGCATAGATGGTCCCGTAACAGGTGCATACTCCTAGACCACAGCGAGGATGGTTCATGGAAGCTACAGCAGCCCACTGCTTTGTAATAGGATCATAGCGTTCAGTGCAGTCAAATATCATGGAGTCCTTTTCACCTTAGACATAAAACAAGAGTACAGCAAACTTGGATATGCTTTGTATAATTTTAATTGTTTTTGTTTATGACAATTACAACCAATGCAACCAGAAAAGAAAAAAATGAAACCAAAATACAAGAAACAGTAACGAAAACTTGAAAAGAAAGAAGGATCCATTTGAATCACCAAGATTTATCTACTCAAAAGCAAAGTTTCTGAAGGTTTTGTAAGAGTGTGGGCATGTGTATGTGTATTATTTAGATAGATATATTTTCCCTACGTGAGTGTGCTGTGAATACGCACTAATGGTACCTCTGCGCATGCGCAGCTTCACTCGGACTCTTCAGTTAAAAATTTAAAAGAATCGGCGGTTGGCCCCGCGCACGCTCCCCTGTACATTATAAATAGACCGCGGCCAGTCAACCGCCTCCAGATCTCTTCATCCGCGCTAATAAGCAGCAGCTCGGAATTCTTCTCACTTTAGTTTTGATTTTAGTATTATGGCTAATACCAAGGGATTTAAGCGTTGCTCTGCATGCCAGGGCAACTTTCCCGACAACGATGCACATTCCCTGTGCATCGCTTGTCTGGGTGAAGGACATCTAACACAGGCATGCTCTATCTGCCAGTCCTTCACCCCTAAAACCAGGAAAAATAGGGGGATTCGCCTGAAAGCCGTCCTTTATGAACGGGCTCTTCTCCCAGATAAACAACATCAAAAAACCTTACCTGAAACGGCGATCCTGACTGCGGCCCTGAAGAAGCCTAAGTCAAAGAAGGCTGTTCAGACCAAGGCAGCCTCGACAAGAACCCCGAAAGCGGCTGGAACCGAGGCTGCATCTGCTCTGTTGGTCCCTCCCCTTGAAAGGGCAATGGAGACTCCTCCACATGGCTGCGTTGCCGGCACAGAGCCGGCTCTGACCTCCGCTCGCCTCGTGCGAGCTCAGGAGGAAAATGAAACCGAAAGGGATGCAGCAAATAAGGCACGCCCCGCGCGTGCGCAAGAGGAAAATGTGACGCCCCCGATGCCGACGCTCTCGGCGTCGGCTCCTCCTGCAAGTTTAGGGGAGGAGCCAGCACGGGCGTCCTTAGCAACGCTTCCCTCGACATCGGGGAAGGCTGGTGCTGTAGCCTTGACGCGGCGTCGAGCGCGCGCTCCGTCGCGTTCACATAATAAGAAGAGAAGACGCCGGGATTCGAGCTCCAGCGACTCCTCCTCCTCTTCTTCTTCTACAACTTGCTCAGATTCCTCCTGTTCTGCAAGGCAGCGAAGGCTTGCGCGCTCACGGAGGGCAAGGTCGACCTCCAGGGCTTGTCAGGAGGGACACTTGGACATTGGACTTCCCCATCCACACCCGGGGATGTATGAGATAACCCCTCAGGGGCGTTTTATTTATTGTGGCCCACCAGCTGCCCCACAGCATGGGGATAATTGCTGTTCTAACAATGGAAATGCAGTCTATGGATCTAGAAATCATGCAAGAAAGCAGTTACATGGACAAGAAGATTTCCCTATGCGTAGGCATCAAGGGACTTACTGCGATCAGAGACAAACTCCACTGCCCTCGATTTCTGAAGATCAGCTTCCACTAGAGGATGGCGAATCGGATTCTTTGGTGGATGTTTTGGGTTCTTCCACTGTTGAGAGGGATCGAGCTACTAACGCTAAGCGTATAGAGGACTTTAACATGTTTGCCCAGTTAATTAGCAGAATGATAACTGCCTTGGACATTCCGGCCCCGAAACCGGCCTCCACAGTGGAAGATCCAATGTACCCTTCCGAGGAGCAGGACAGTTCACCGTCCCTTTTGCTCCCGACTCTTCCTTATTTGTTAAAATTAACTAAAGTACCTGATGTTTCTCCGTCGGTAGCTCCTGCAATTCCTAGGAGGGTCGATCTTCTTTACAAAGTTGACTTATCATTAGCGAGTTGGATTGCTCATCCTACATTACCAAATACGGTGGTGGCGGAGGCAGCTAGATCAAAAAGGCCTAAGAAGTATTCAATAACACCACCAGATAAGGAGGGCAAAAAGATTGACTCCCTTGGAAAGAAAATTCATGTGGCTGCGGCATTGTTTGCCAGGATGGCTCACTATGCCACTTATTTCAGTGGATACCAGAGTTTTCTCTGGAAAAATATGTTGCCCTATATCAATCTCCTGCCATCTGAAGACCGTCGTCTTCCTAGGGCATATCAGGCAGAGGCACTTATTCTCTCTAGATTGCAGAAGGACTTTGCCAAACATATGGCTGAGACATCGGGCAAGCTTTTTGCTTCTGCCACGGCCATACGACGTCACGCGTGGCTTCATGCTTCCACGCTGTCTGAAGAAAGCCGTTTGTTGGCAGAAGACCTTCCAATGACTGAGGAAGGTCTTTTTGA